GGCTCACTGGACGCCGGAGCGGCGGGCGGGGACAGGGGGCCGCCCAGACCGGAGCCCCGGCCCTGCTGTCAGACCCGCCCCCACCAGCTGCCTACACTGCAGGCCGGCGGAGGGGCTTGTCCGCTCAGTTGAGAGGGAGATGCATGTGGCGAATTCTATAATCACGTCTTACACAGGTTTCCCTTCGTATCAAGTATTTCCTACCGGGGCGTTTCCTCCCACGAGGACCACAGGGAGGGCGGGGGGCCCACGTGGCCCTCACAGCCCCGCCCCTGGCATGACGGCCTGGGGGGGCTCTGGAGGAAAACACGGGGGTCTCCACCTGGGCCAGCACCATCCCCGCAGGACAGCAGGGGCTTCCTGAGCGGGACCGTGGGGGCGAGGAGTCACCGGGCCACCCGTCCCTTTACCTCCACGACAGCGGGATTTTCCACCCCTCTGAGCATCGGTTCCCAGCCCCGGGCAGTGGCCGTCTCACAGGCCCACTGGGTGGGCGGAAAGGTCCAGAGGCCCCAGTCCCAGAGCACAAAGCCCGACCCTTCACCGTCGCAGCCCAGGATGGGGAGGGGCTCAGCCCAACTCCGGCATTTCACATCACAATGATGAGGCGTCCCGAGGACGGTGGGCACGGAGGACTCGCGGGGCGGGGCCCCGGCTCTCAGAGACACGCCCAGTTCCCAACAGCAGCCTCCTGACGGCGGCCCAGCCTGACGTGAGTGACGCAGGACGCTCGGAGCAGGCCGGGGTGACCTGTGGCCCAGCAGAGACCCGGTGCCCTCTTTAGAATGCCCGTCACTCACGCCAGGCCAGGTCAGCTCTCCGCAGAGGGAGGGCGTCTGCAGCAGGGAGGCGAGGCCACTCCGGGGGGCCCAGCCGGGCAGCGTCCGGCCCTGCAGGCCCACCCTGCCCCAGCACAGGCCTCCCACCAGGACGGCCCCACTGAAACCGAGGGGCAGCAAAGCCACCCCACACAGCCAGAGACCCTCAGGTGCCGACAGCACGGGCCGAGGGGCAGGACCCCCGCGGCCAGGATCTGGCCTGAGCGCAGGGCCCAGGGTGTGGGGAGGGGCCCGAGGAGCCCACCAGCCTGCCCTGCTGGGACGGCCACGCAGCCCAGGACAGGACGGTGCCTTCTTGGGCTCCAGGACAAACCACGGACCAACTTCAGCTAGAGGAATCCGGCTCAGAGCAGGTCAGGGAAGAGACCGGCAGAGGCGTCCCCGCCAGCCCCACGCGCTGGACACACGGAGGCAGACCAGGGCCTCCGTCCTCTCACACGTCTGTCCAGTG